TATAATCATTTGTAATTGTATATACATTGTTGTGATTAATTGTGGCTGGAACAATAATGTAGCTGTAAAAATAGTTGCCTGATGAAATTGAAATGTATATACATCTTCATCATACATAGACACGGTGAGTTTGTCTTTACTATACACGTTAAATGTGATCCACCTCATAGTAACAATCCTGTCAGATCGTCCATCCTTTGAGTGAGAGTGTAACGTTACAGGTCGGCCGATCTAGTTTCGTGGTTAAAGTTAACCTTTTCACATGTTTCCGTGTTGTTGTTGCTCAGCAATGGCATGGACGCGATGTTGTCTGGGGGTTTGGCAAAAGGAGAGTGGGACTGTGGGCGGTGCTCGGGGTGGTGACTGAAGGCGGTGACTGTGTAGTTCTGACGTCAACTTTTTACGGAAGTCACAACGGTTCTTGAAAAATCACAGCTACTTTATGCAGGCTGTGTGCATTTTACTGTGGACTGACTGTTTTGAAACTTATATGGTAGTTAAATAGCCCCTAGACCTCAGTTATCGTGAAAAAAGCAAGGAAATTTGGGACCTTAAAATCCTGTTGAAAACTCCTGCTTCCCTTAAGAATGTAATCAATATTCTACTCTGTGTCCTATTTACTGTGATTTGTAACCCTTTTAATCTGATCTCCTGCACCCCAATCTCCCTCAGCTTATTTTTCATTACCTGCCTCTGTGTTTCTTATCTCATACAAGTCATGATTATGTGCTCCACTGACTCCTCTTCTCGACATCCCTCACACAACCCTGTCTGGTGCTTCCCTATCATCTTTAGTGTTTTATTCAGTGAACAGTGTCCCAACCTTAACCTAGTCATCACTGCATCTTCTCTCCTATTTCCAATTACCACCTTATCCTCTTTAACATTTATTTGAATTTGGTATGTGCCTCCCTTTCTCCTCTCTATCCCACCTCTCTTGCCACCTTTTATTGATTTTCTCCCAAATTATGCATTTAACCTCTGCTTTACTTAAATTTACCTGCATTTCTACGTTCTCTTTTGTTAGTACCCTTTTAGCCAGCCTATCTGCCATCTCATTACCCGTAATCCCAACATGTGCTGGGACCCACATAAATTTTACCTGACATCCCTTATGAATTATTCTTGTGTTTAATTGAAGCACTTCATACAGGATATCTTGCCGAGCTTTTGAATTAAAGGATCTTAAACTTGTCAAGACTGATAAAGAATCAGAGCATTTCAAAACCTTTTCCCGCCCTACCTTTTCCTCCCATTGCAAAGCAATTAAAATTCATTAGACATCTCTAAGATGCTGCTGTATTGAACATGGCACCTGATGACTAATTTACTATTTTTTGTTCCCTGTCATTTTGATTTATTTGATGTTTGATTCATCGCAGGTTCCCTCTTACGTCATACTCCGGGGTTTCCTTAGGTATTTGTGCACATGCGCACTCTTCAAAAACGGCGCTTTTAGAGGACGCGCTAACATGATGGCAATGCTGAAAATAAAGCGCTAAATGTTGACATCTAGTGTTGAAAGCTGAACATTACACGCAGAAAGGGCGTCGGACCGGATGTTGTCGTTTCGGCGGAAGAGGAAGTGAACGGTGGCGAGAGGATCATGGCGGCTAAATCAAGCAATTCAAAAAATACGAAGAATAAAGCTTGTGGACATCGAAAGGGGAATGGATCAGAGAATTTAAGAATGGATGATACAGGTGAAGAGGAGGATGATATGGAGGTAGGGTGGACACAGATAGAGGGAAGATCAGGAAAGAAGGAATCTAAAAAGAGGAAAAAAGGTAAGGAGGAAGGATCAGAAAGTAGTTCGGTAGCGAGTGAGGAAGAAGGGGGTGGAAGAAATAAGGTCATAGGTGGATTTAGTGTAATATTAAATTTTAAAGAAGCGGTAGGAGTTTCAGGAATAAATCCGTTGGCGTTGACATACGAATTGAGGAAATTAGTAGGTGAGATAGAGTTTGCAAAGGTGCTGCAAGATGGTGCTTTATTGATAGCTTGTATGAACGAAGAGCTAGTTTAAAGATAATTAATTATTAATTCATTTAAAATATAAAGATACTACTAATAATAAATAATTTCCAGTCAGTAGCCCATGTACAATGTAGTTAATAGTAGGACACTCTTAAACTGGAATTTACTATTTGTGTATTCAGTTGGGCTTACATAATTCTTATTAGCGAATTGTTAATTGCAGTATGCATAGCAAATCAAGTCAAATTATTACTGTTGTTTATAGCAGCGGCAGCAGGAACTATCTGGTTGTAACTTGCATGAAATTTCAGTGATAACGCATGGGGTAAGTAACTCTTTTAAAGTGAAATAGGCTTTTATAACTTTGTTTATTTACCAGGGCATACAGGGATTTTGTGAACTCTTCAAAGCAAAATAGGCATTATTTGTTTGCGTTTCATTGTTTAATAAAGACGCTTACAGTAATTCTAAGTACTTTCGTGCAGCAGTAACTTTCACGGAGTGTAGCAGCAGTATCCATAATATAGCAAGGGCAGCAGAAAGTACTTTAGTTGCATGAAATTTCAGCGGTAATGCATGGATGAGCTACAGCAATTCTAGTACTTGGATGGTAGGTAGCAGCAGTATCCATAGAATTTCAGATTGCGTTATTAGTTATTAGTTATTAATAGTGATAACTCATGGAGGGTAAATTAACTCTTTAAAGTGCAATAGGTATTTATTAATTTGCTAATTCAACAGGGCTTACAGCAGGTTTGTGCAGCAGCAGTAGATTATGCTTCGCAAATTCTGATTAAATATTACAACCGCAACAGCTCGCACAATAAATTCCTACTACAACATTGTGAATATCATTAATGGCAACAGCATGTACTTCAACTAGCAGCGTAGCAGATCTGTTCCACCAAGACCAAATGCATTAACATTGTCATATCCATCACCATGCTAAAATGTTCCTAGAGTTGTCATGATTGAAATATATATAACGTAACAATAGGATATTTTCTGCTCATTTAGCTTAATAAACTTGTGAATAAGTGTGTGTGTGTTGATTATATAAGTAACAGTGTGATGAAGCATATGAGTATGTTGAGTCTGTTAAATACTCACACACGTATACAAGCAAACACACACAAGATTTTATTCCTCACATTCCCATGGATTTTTTCTGAAATTTTTTTATCCGTTTTTTCAACAAAAATGATTTGCAATCAATCATTTTTACATTTGCAAGCTTGAAAATATAAAAGGTCATTGCGTTTCATGATTTTATGTCTAAATCTTTATGACAGCTTTACCGGATAAAATAGGCAAACATGGACAATTCACAGACAAAAAGAAAAGTCTATGATATTTAAAGAGGAGGTGGAAGGAGAACCAGTTCAAACCCTGAGTGGATTCACTAAAGAGTGATGCTACTTTTGTGCTTTGTATTTCCACGCAGTCTAGTTCATTGATGTTTGCCTACAAAACCACCACTGGCTCTGCACCCATTTACCTAAATTCATTACTTCAGAGTTATGTGCCCTCTAGAAGCTTGCATTCTGCAAGTGAACGGCGTATTATTGTGCCATCTCAAAGAGGCACAAAATCACTTTCACAGACTTTTTCATTAACTGTTCCCTCCTGGTGGAATGACCTGCCCAAATCAATCCGAGCAGCTGAGTCCTTAACCATCTTCAAGAAACGACTAAAAACACATCTGCTCCACCTTTATTTGACCCTCTAACTCTAGCATTATCTATTTTATTTTAATTCTATTTTATCTATATTTATCTTTTTTTTTTAAATAACAACAAAAAACAAACAAACACTAGCTTTCTATTTTTTCTATTCTATCTACTTGTTTTTCTTTGTGTGTGTGTATGTGTGTGTGTGTATAATATATATATGTATGTATGTATATATGTATATATGTATGTATGTGTATGTATATATACTGTATATGTGTATATATATATATATATATATATATATATACACCTTGCTACGTGTACTGCGTTAGGCTAACCGAGACCTGTCATTTACACTTATATATTGTTTTGTGGCCAGCCTAAGGCACACCTTTGCAATAATCATGCTGTCTAATCAGCATCTTGATATGCCTCACCTGTGAGGTGGATGGATTATCTTGGCAAAGGAGAAGTGCTCACTAACACAGATTTAGACAGATTTGTGAACAATATTTGAGAGAAATAGGCCGTTTGTGTACATAGAAAAAGTCTTAGATCTTTGAGTTCAGCTCATGAAAAATGGGGGCAAAACCAAAAGTGTTGCGTTTATAATTTTGTTCAGTGTAATTTGTCATTTTCATGGAGTGATTGGAACTCGGGAATAATTTGCTGTATTTGGGTGTACAGTGCATCTCTTAAGAACGTGTATTTGTCACAGTGGAGTAGGAAGTGTTCCTCCATCTCAACTGCTCCTGATCTACATTTGTTACAGATTCGCTCGTCTTTAGGTAACCACGTCTTCTTATGTCGTCCTCTTTCTATGGCCAGCTGGTGGTCACTAAGTCTCTACTTAGTCAATAAATGTCTGTGTCTTATATTCCTGACTGAGACGAGATAGTCAGCCAGATTGTACTCTCTGTTTAGTCTCAAATAGCATTGGAGACGACTTTGGTCTTTGGTTTGTTATTTCCAGAACAAATGGTATGTCCAGAACAAATGGTATGTCTCTTTCTCTCTATTCATAATTTCACACACACACGAGCGCGACTTTAGCACTAGATTTAGCAACTCGCTGCATGAGACAAAAAAGTAATATAGCCAAAACAACCGCATAGCCGCTCTTTAGTGTAGATGCATGTTGATTTTATCAGATGATGCCGCGATTATAAATGAGAGTGACTCCTGGTTAACATGTATTAAAAGGGGTGTTAAAATAAGTCGGGCTGAGGCAGCAGCCCTGTCTTACTCCTCGTTGTTGAGAAAAATATTCTGTCCGTTGCTGTCCAATTTTTACTGCACATTTATTTTGGTTATACACACTCTCTCTCTCTCTCTCTTTTATTTTTTTAGAGGTGAGTGCTCATGAAGGCAGTAATGATAATGGCAGTGTTTGTGATGGCAGTGACTCCACGCTCTACAGGCAGAGTGAAGGTAACATGAAAAATCTATATACTTATATACACATGTGTTTTCACATTTCAGAGCCATAAAAAGACTTTAAATCTGCCAGATTCTACAACCCACATCAATATCATGCCTTTATTACCTTGATTTAGTCCTTAATCTCAGTCGTGTGCTGTCATCATCACACATTTTTAAATCTATTAAAGTTATTTCTGGGTTACTATATTGTTATTATATTTACAGTACTCTTCAGAAGTTTGGGACCAGTAAGATTCTTTTATTTTTTTTATTTATTTTAATAAGAGAAGTCTCTTTTGCTCACCTAGGCTGTGTTTATTTGACCGAAAAAGCAGTAATATAAATATTAATAGTAAATAAATATACTGAATTAATATTAACATTAATATGAAATATTATTATGATTTAAAATAACTTATCATTTATTTTAATTTATGTATGTTTGTAATTTATTACTGTGATGGCAAAGCTGAATTTTCAGCAACCTTTACTTTACCAGCAACCTTTATTGCTGCTCAAGAAACATTTCTTATTTTTGTTAATGTTGAAAACAATTACAACATTAATTGTTTTCAATTAATGTTGAAAACATTAATTGAAAATGTTTTGGGGGGGGGTGAATATAAAGCTCAAAAGAACAGTGTTTATTTGCAATAGAAAACTTGTGTACCATTATAAATGTCTTTGCTTTCAACTTCAACAAATTATTATTTCTTTCGACAACAAAAAAAAAAAGTTACTGACCCCAAACTTTTGAACCATATTGCTGTCACGAATGTCTCCGTAACAATTGCACATCTAAATGGTAATTAATCTACATGAAACTCAAAGACCTGTCTGTAACTGCTTAAAGCATCTGGATTCAGTCAGATTTACAGAACGGAAACTGTTTGTTTGCTTTTACTGCGCTTAGAACTTGCATCAAGCCCGACAACAGAGGGCTTTATTTAAACGTTCCCTTTGATAACTCTGAACTTAAAACTCCTTCTCTACAGAAGACATAGGCCTACTTTCTCACACACACACACAGGGAAATTTGGCAATATGTCCTGTGTTATACTGAGTTACCTGTTGGCATGAGGAACAAGGGCTCTTGACTACAAGTGTTGGTCTCTTGCTGTAATCACTGCTGAACTTGAACAGTCAATGAATTGTTATGAAGATAAACACCCAACATACACAAACACAAAAACACACTCATACACAGAGAAAGCAATCAGCTTTCATTGTGCGTCTAGTTATATAGACATTAAATAGATAGAGTTGTAACTGTGTGTATATGTGCATACAGGTCACAGCATGGCAGACACGCTCACCGTTGCTCTACGCGTGGCAATAGAGGAAGCCATTGCTAAAGCTGAGAGCTACAGAGACAGTCTGGTTAGAGACTCCTCTTTATATATCATCCATCCAACCAACCAACTGTTAATTCATCCTTCATCCACCCATCCAAGTATTCACTAATCCATCAGGCTTTCATGCTTACATCCGTCTATTCTTCTGAACACCCATATAAGGCTCCTGCATACAAATATCACTTTATTTTGTATATTTCAAATGTTGTTGACTCATCTATCTGTCAGTTTTAATCATTACCCATGTTCCATGAATATCTAACCACAGTTGCACTTTTCTTTCTCATGGCTGCTTCTCTTTCTCTTTTATATGACAGGAGAAACAGAATGAGGCTCGCTATTTGCGTGACCACAAGGAAGAACTTATAGAGGAACTTGCCACAACAATTGTTCAAAAAGTAAGAGCTGTTCTGTTACAGCGAGAAATACATTGTAGTTTATAGTAATTTTAATTAACCTTGACTGCATCCCAATTCACATATAATAATAATAATAATAAATATAGCTACAAGCTGCAATTACCGGGTTTCAAGTGTTTTTTAAGACATTTGAGTAATTATAGACAATTTAAGATGATTTTATCCGGGGGAAAAATAAATAAATAAATAAAATGACTAGAAATATTATTTAATAATTTATCACTTTTGACCAATAGGTGGCGCTGCTCCCAAATTGATGTGGTGTGGATAACTAGGGGTGACAATGACACACACATAGTTTGGTGCCAATGTGCCAAAGAATTGCTGAAAACAGCATCAAAAGCTTTTGATAACTTTTTGTTAGGACCATCTGAAGATGTCTGATTTCTTTCAAATTTTTCACAGACATTTAGGGCCAACCAGAGTCAAAAAGGCCCATCCAGTTTCGTTCCGATCGGCCTCCGTTAACCTCGTCTAATCAATTTGATTGGCTGATGGCAGCCATGTTTTTTCAAGATACACTAATGTCCTTAGAGATATTGCTGGCACCTTGGACAAAGACACTGCATGCCAAATTTCAAGTCAGTCAGACTAGCGGGTGCGTAGTTTCCTGTTATATTGCCACCAAGTGGTCAAACGCCCAAATTTGTGCAATTTGACCAAATATTGAGATAATTCATTTGTGTTCCGAGTTTGGTAAAAATCACTCTTTCCATTCAAGTTATAGCTGTTTTAGTAAAAGTGGTCCACCCACTTTGAACGTTTTTGCGTCCTGTTCCGATGGACAATGGAACTTCCACTTGGTTTTGATAACTTTTGCTAATCCCACTCAAGAGAACTTTTCTGCACTGGATTGGTTCCAATTGGGAGAGAAACCTAGGACTAGTTCTCAAAAGTAGGTTTTGTGAAAAATTCAAAACGGCGGGAAAATTTTCATGTTTTTTTTCTGTCTTGAGCCAAGGATTCCAATGATACAAGAGACTTGAGTCTACAACAAAAGGACTAGGAGTTATGAGCAATTTCACATTTTTGATCGGCATGTGCTAGTGGTAAACAAAAAGAGCATGACAAATCACAGTTTGGCCGTTGTACTTTTTTTGTTTGCTGAAAAAAAGAGGAAGCTGTGAAAGAGGAAAGGGAAAAGAGTTTGAGGTAAGCAGTTTTAGTTTAAGTCTTTTTTTTATTGCAGAGTATAGGAACATACAAATAATAACAATGCAAATTATAAACATATAAAAACAAACAAATCATAGAGCACAGTAAAGTTTTACATATAATGACATTACAAAGTACCAGGGGGATTGAAGCTTATGCCATAGTATTTTAAACATGCCTCATATTTTTTATTTTTTAATAGTTTTATTGAAGAAATATAACAATTAAAATCAATACAAAACAAATTTAACATAGGAAATTAATTAATATATTGTTGTTTATGTATGTGAAATTTTGCCATTACAAAAAAAGGTTAACAATAAATTCCAGATCTTTATTGCTTTTGTTTTCATTATATAAAATAACATCCTTTAATATTAATTAAATTAAATTAAATATAAATTCTGCCAGTTCCACCCTGAACCTCTTTATGACTTTACAGTCAAAAAATAAGTGTGTCAGCATCTCTTTCTCACTATTACAAAAGCATCATATATCAACAATATCAGTGTATCTAGATATTAAGGATTTAACAGGGTAAATGGTATGCAGAATTTTCAAGTGTATTTCTTTTATTTTATTATTAATACAGTATGTAAATGGATTCTAATTTTTTTAGAATTATAGCAAATGTGACTTTTGACAAGCTGAATATTACAGGAATAGCTTTAATAATTGAATTAAATTCCCTAAACTATACAGGGAAACTGTGAATAGACATGAATTGTTCATAAGTTAAAACAATCCCAGAATTGTCAAACATTTTTATAAGATGATTAATGTCTCTGTTAAACCAATTTGTTAAAAATAAAGATCCATTTGAAGCAGTTATATTGCCATTATTCCTAATGAAGGAGGTGTGAGGAGAGAAGTTGTGAGAGTAACAAATTTTCCAAGCGAGAAGAGCTTGCTGATGAAATTTAGATAATTTGAGGGGGATTCTAGAAATATTATAATCACATGTTAACAGAAATTTCAAGCCCCCTATTTGATTAAAGAGGTTATGAGGAATATGGTTCCATGATTCCATTATGGTTGTTCAAACATCTCTTATGCCAATTAATCTTAAAGGTTTTATTCACGTCCTCAAAATAAAGCATTTCCAGACCCCCTTCAGCTTTCTTATTAGTGAGAACCCTTTTCTTAATTTTTTGGGATTTTTCCAAATAATAAAAAAAAACTGGTTATTAATATCTTTGCATTTAGAATCTTTAACATAATGATAAAGTGGGATAAACAAACTGAAATAAGCTTTCCGCTTTGGATAATAAGGCACGATCATAAATAGAAAGATCACGCTGTAACCAGCAATTTAACACCACTTTTTTCTTCTTTAATCTAGAGGGAAAAGTTGTGTCTTTCAAGAACATTTGTTACAAATAATTACTAGGTATTTGACAGGATTTTACTGGAATGTTCATTATATATTTATCATTTAAACTGTGTAAGGGAGGATTTCACATTTAGATAAATTTCATGTTAAGCCAGAAGCCCTTGAAAAAGAATTGAAAGAAATAGCATTTAGAATAAAATATACACTTTTTAGAAAAAAAGCTGTGTCATCTGTCAACTGGGATATCTTAAGTATTTTATCAAAAGTTGAGACCTTGGATATGTTTATTATTAACAATACCAATCAATAATAATTCAACTACTAACAAA